GTAGTATATATGGACCCTCTTGGATCATCATTCCCTGCTAGGTTCATCAATGTCCCCTTAATAATGCGAGTACCCTTTTTTCTGCTATTCGGTTTTGCAAAAGAGACCCCGAAGTAAACAGGTTCAACGAGTACTACTTACTACTGTGGAACCCACTAGTATTACCGGGTTAATTTGGCCCTACAAGACCATCCTAATCAAGTCCTCATCATGAATTCGTGGGACCTACTTGCAGAAAGGTAGTAGTGGAAGCCATAAAGTTGGAACATCATAATCCTCGTGCCCTTCAGGTAAAGCATACGGGATCCTAGCACAAATCATCCTAAACCCATGTTCCATACACGGGGCTCCATGTGTCGGCGGCGGTGGCCATGTGAAAGTGCGAGTCTAAGCTCGACTTCTGATTGAGCAAGGACCCCCAAGACCAACACATCAAACTGTCTCGCTGTTGGAATTCCACTCCGTCGCCGTGGATGTACAAAGGGATCGTACGATCTTTGTTTTGAACCGTTTCATCAAGGGCTATAGGGTGCTTTTCCAACCGATCGTCCTGGACACGTTCCACTCCTTCCCAGAAACTCGCCAGGTCTGAAGTCGCGAAGATGGCATGGAACTGCCGCTTGTAATGTCGTCCTATGTCCGACAAGACGACATGAGGCAACATGATGGCAGCCTCGGCGGTTTGCAGCTTGCTCGTTTTCGGGTCCATGGCCTGGACTTGGATAAACTTTCTGGGGCTTGCTGTATCCGTACCTGGAGCATCTTTCCCTCCAGCTGCCCGAAGAAGAGGCTCCATCCGAAGCTTCCCGACATGAGGGCGTGCGATCGCTGCTTAAAGGAGCTCCGGTCAAGATCAGCACCGCTGCTCACACTCGTGGCGGCTCTGTGACCCTCCTAAATATATACATGAAGTTTCCCCCCATAACCCATAACAGCTCCTTGGAGCTCTCACTGTCTCGGGTCCCTCCTCACTTCGCGCCCAAGTATCCAAGTCCAAGTAGTAGGATTCCGGGATCCCCAAACTACCTTTAGTCTCCAATGTAGTACCGTTTAGGATCCTAAACATAAAACTTGTTGCACCAACAAAAGGTACCACAATGGAGACGATAAGTACCTTTAGCGTCCCTGAGTTTCTGAAGGCCCTCCCTACACCTTAAACCCCAAACCCCCAAACCCTTAACCCTAAATCCCATAAAACCCGGAGACATCCGCGCCTGAGACTGACTTTGAGCAGCCATTTAACCTTGACGGGTCGCGTCTATCATATAGAGGGTTTGTAGGTTGTCTTTAGAAGCGGCGGTTCCATGGTCTAGGCGGGTGGATCTGCTTCTTAGCTCTGAAAGTGGGTAGCTCTCTAAATCAGGGTCCCTTTTAGGGTCCTGTCCTTTCTATAAGGGTGCCGTGCTATGTTGGGGACCTCAGAAGGGCCCCTGATTTAGAGAACCACCCGTATTTGGGGTTTGTGCATGTTCAGCGGAGGATGTTATTATCTGCGTTGCTCACTTGGTGCATGTCGCCCAACTAGAGTACTTAACTACATCATAACTGGTTGTAAACACGAGCCCTTTGTCAAATGCACTGTTTAGGGTTTAATTTAAGGGTCCAAGTACCTTGTAATCATGTACTCGTCTGAATACTAACCTACAAAACTCTTATCCGTAACCAATGCCCATGTCCGGCAGTAACACAGCCTTTAGCCCTAGCGCCCCTACACTTAAAAACCCCAAACCCCTACAACAACGCGAACCACGCAGGAAAGTCTGTGATATTTGCACTCCAACCTACAGCCTCCGACCCCTGTAGCACAAGCTAATATCGAGCACTGAATGATCAGAATAAGGCTTCAAGGGTACAACGGTTTAGGGTTGAGGGTTTTAAGATTTATAAATAAATCCAAACGAGGAATCCACCAAAACAGTATTTGCATCTATTCCTGCTCTTGCATTACATAGACCTCAGTCGGTTCAGGTTGGGATCTACCAAGGACCTTCCAGGCGCTTGACCCAGAAGCCTTGAATAAGCTTTATATGCCCACAAGCAAGTTGAGAACCCCTGCCCTATGAATCCTAAACGAACAATCCTACCCTAACCCCCCAGGTACCTACTATATAGGGTACCAGAGCCTCTAGGGCCCTATATAGTAGGCACCTGGAGGGTTAGGGCTACATACACGTTAAGCTCAGCTTAACATTGGAGGGTGGACATGGCCCTAAATCCTAAATCCCTAAACCCTAAACCCTAAACCCTAAACCCTAAACCCTAAATCCCTAAACCCTAAACCCTAAACTAAGAGCCCTCGGACCCTAAGCCGAGGCATGGACAGGCGAAGCTGCATCTCCTCAGAGTGCAGGTTCATCAACGCCTGCAGTGGACAGCTTGTAGCTTCCTACCATCCTATAGAGGAGCTCCTTTTTATGGGTTGCTTTAAGGGCTCCGTGAAGGGTGTTTAGACATTTGCAAGACTTGATTTCAAGTAGGGGTTTGTAGGGGTTCTAGAGGTATAAAGTGCCTAACAATGAGAAGCTCGGGGTCGGATCGCCATAAGCTAGGCCCACGCGTGAGTCGTAGGCACTAACCTAGGATAGGCAGTGGTATTCCAGACTGGTTAGTATTGGGCAATTTTGAGGAGTATATGACGACTATCGGAAATTGGACCTTCAGGGCTTTAGACTCCGATAGAAACCTTTAGAACCCAACAGGAACCCTTAATTGTGGAAGCTCATAAACCCTAAACCCTAAACCCTAAACCCGTGATCTTCGGTACTGGGGGCCAGTGCCCTTTGCGCTGGGCTGGGCTGGAGTTCGTTTCCGTACTCAGGGCGTGGGGGGACTCGGTGCCTGTGGATTCATGTTGAAGTTATAGGGTGTAGGGTTTAGGGGTTTAGGGGTTTAGGGGTTTAGGGGTTTAGGGGTTTAGGGGTTTAGGGGTTTAGGGTTTAGGGTTTAGGGTTTAGGCATTGGACAATTTTCCATGTCCCCGCTTGTCGCACATCACGTCTTGCGCACTCATATGCACTCATGGCATGCTATGTTATGTGCGCCTTAACATAAGCCCTAAACCCTCCCTAGCTGGGGTGCCCGGCCAACTGTGGCAATCGCTCGTTCTGCTCTTCCGAGCCCAAGACGGACCAAACCTTCAGTGGTTCAGGGGGCTTGGGCTTCTGATTTTTTTTGGGGGGATGGCTTTTTGTGGGGATGTTTAAGGGTTCAGGCTTGAAACGCAAACTTTACGTCGGGGCTTCTAATAGAAACCTTCAGTGATTCAAGACGAGGTTTTGGTAGTTTAAGGTCGGGTTTCATTATACCCTAAACCCTAAACCCTAAACCCGGTTGAGGGTTGCGAGCTTCAGAAGCCTTGGGTGTGTGATTTGGGTTTGCCACTGAGTCCGGTTCAATATAGGCTGAGGGGCTTTAATAAGGGTTTAGGGTTTAGGGTTGAGGGTTTAGTTTCCTTCAGGCACACATATTAGTTATTGTTGTGTAATTAGATGTATTTTTAAGTATAAACATGCACGCATGGGTGGGGATTACCTGTGGCTCCACCCGCCCAATTTGTTTGAAGGGTTCCAACCAGTATTTCAGATTTCACTGGCTCTCTGTGGCTATAGTTCTCTCAATGAGGGTACCTGTTAGGGGGTCCTTAAGTGTCGATAGGGTTTCTATAAGGGTCCTTTATAAGGGTTCAACAACATCTCGTAGGTTTGGGGAGCTTACCTGATCTGGACTTCGCATAGAGAGTGGACAGGTGTGCATTCGGGGGGCACGCTTGCAGCCTTTAGTCTGCAAAGTGCGAAAGCCAAAAACGAATGCTCAGAAAAAGCGTGGGCCTCGAACGTCCCTGAGCCCCAAAACCCGACGCTCTAAGCCCCTAAACCCTAAACCCAAAACCCGACACTCTAAACCCCTAAACCCCTAAGCCCTAAACCCAAAACCCGACACTCTGAACCCCTAAACCCTAAGCCCACAACCCGACACTCTAGATGCGGAAACCCAGGAGACAACACCCAAACCAAACTCCTCAAGACTCAACATTGCAGGCACAAGGATTTGATAAACAGTTGAAGAGATCCGGAACCGGGTAATATAGGGGCCTTGAATAATTGCCAATACTATCTCGGGGTTCCTGACTATAATTCTAGTATAACATACCCCCCAAACCCTGTTCTACTCATGAAGGCCCCTAAACCCTAAACCCTTACAGTAGCCCTTATAGAACCCTTTAAAGGAACCCCTAAAAAAGGAACCCCCAAAGCCTTATTCTAATTTATGAAGGCCGCTACATCAATACAGTCAAGAGTGGAGGAGGAGATCCTGAGGTGTCTTTTTCTTTGGAGGGGGGGGGGGGGACAGGGAGCTTGGGAGTGACAGCTCTAAGAGCCCTGGCCGGATTTGTAGAAATGGTAATATAGGAGCCCTCATAATTAGAATAGGGTTGTGGGCCCTTTTATACAATAATTAGACTGAGGCACCCTGAGGAGTACCATAGGTGATTATTTAGGCTTCTCTGTTACGAAGTTTCTGTGCGCCCAGCGCCCTTGGCAGGGACCGAGACCGCACGTGCCTGCAGCAACGGGCGAGGATCAAACACACCCGACCCAGAACCCTATGCCCTATGCGCTATACCTTGGACTCGAAACCCTACACCCCACAACCGAAACCAAAAGCCCCAAACCCTGCAAATTGAACCTCACAGAAAGTTAGTGGATATGATACCACGATGGCTTTCTATAGCTCATTCATACTCGCGCGGGTAACTTAAATCAAGATCTCAACATGAACCCAGCGTGTCCCACAGGGCTTGTAGATGGCATGGGCCCTGATTTCGGATCAACTTTCCGAAGGTCCGAAAAAATAGAGACTGTTTCGCGGGGATTACGACTAAACCCTAAACCCTAATCCCCGGTGTCAGCTAGGAAAAGCCCCTAAAACCCTACAAACCCCAAACTCGAGCCGTTTATCGGCGACAAGGCCCACTGGGCTTGGATTTTGACTGTACTTAGAGGCCCAGGGGACTTAGTTAAATGGAGTTATAAGTGCCCTACCCGGAGTTACCTCAGTTATAACTCTATGTGTAACCGACCTACTAAGTCCCCTGGGCCTCCAAGTAGGGTTGAAGGTCTCGGGTCGACGTGCCTAAGGAACCTACCTTTTTGGGGGGGTCCTTAGCATGATGTCCTTGGTGAACCTTTTTGTTTGGGTTCCTGAGTATGATTTCCGTCTACAGCTCCTTAAGAAAGCTAGAATACTTGGGGTTACGGGAGGGTTTGGTTTGGGGTTTAAGTCTGTAACTGAATGGTTAAAGGCTACCTACTCTACGAGACTAAGCCTACTTGGCACATTCCCTGACCGTTAGTATGGCTCAACCCTAAACCCTAAACCCTTTTGTTCTGGCTGGAAATGTAGAATTCCTTCGGGTCCCTTGTTGAGATAGACAGGTCTGTAGTAGCCTCCAAAACCCCGTTGCCATGATAGTTACCTCTACTATGTTAGGGGTTTCTTATTATATTTATAGCATAATGGGCCCCAAAACCCTATTCATTTTAATTAGTAAGGCCCTAGATTATTTTCCCAACTATTGGCTTTGGTCCGCTTGTTGGAGCTACTGTACTGTGAGCAGAGATCTCCTGACAAGTTGCCACGGGTACATTCGCCTTTGCCGGTGGTCATGTAGGGTTTCGGGTTGTGGTACTCCTAAGGTATAGGTTTAAGCCCAATTTAAGCCCTGAACCTTTAAGCCCTTAAGCTCCATACCTGTCGACGCCCAAAGCGACAAAAGCTAGCAACCAACCAAAAGCTTACAGTACAGACGTCTCAGAGATGGTACGATGCTTCTTTTCACCAGCACAACCCTTGCCGTGCAGTTTGCACAGCGCAAGCGCGCATCCAAGGAAATTGCCATCACCCACCCTCAAGCTGCAGGATGCTACCATGTTTCACTTAGGGTTTACGGTCAATCATACCGTTGCTCTAGTCGCAGGTCTCGAGACGAGGATTGATGCAGGACTTCAAAACGAGCACCAACACATACAAGACATAGCAAAACTGAAAGCCTACGAGCACTTTGAGGATTGCAGCAAGCAAATGAACTGGATGCTTCAAAGCGCTCAGAAACAAATTTCGCAACACTCTGATCTGCGGCCCTTTGCTGCCGTGTTTCTGTATAGTATAGTACCGGGGGATACCTGTAGTGCTTTTACGGTGTCAGTTACCTGCACCATCTGAATGCCCAGTGCATGCATCTCGATTGCATTTCAGGCTCAGCCATCTAGCTGCATGCAACAACACCTTCATCATCAACACCAACATCATCTTCTTTATATGCATTATCGTCATCATCGCCGTCATCATGATTATGCCTTCATCCGTACTAGTTCGCCTTTTTTGCCACGTTTGCTGTTTGCATTCCCACAGAGCTCAGAGAGGGGGCGGTGCGATTTATGGTGAAACAAGCCAGGTGGTGTGGCGGCATGAGTGCATGATACAGGGGCCTTAATAAATCGAAGACGGCTGTTGTGATAAAGAAAAAGAGTAAATGTTGAAATACTTGCCAATTATCCCGAGCTCTAAATTGCATGATCGTGTCACACTACGGCTCTAAAGTGTGCAAATCCCCAGCATGAAAGACACATTCTCCCCACAAGCCGCCTCTATTACCCCTAAACCCGATACCCTTTACTAAAGTCTTATGGCTGGCCTCATGTTGCTTTGTGGGACCTATAACCTTTGTGCAGGTCGTTGGGTTATGGGACCTTTTGAAAGAAGAGCACATCAACTATATTATCTTGTACTTCGTTTGTTAGAATATATTTCTATTATCTTACACTAGATTATTTTAAATTACGGTATATCATATTGCAGTATGTCGAGGCATTGCATTTCATTAAAATGTATTATGCTATAAACTCTCAACCAAAGAACCGGAGTTAAAGGTGTGCAGACTTACGACCTGCACGCGTCACTCTCGCATTTCTCACCTGCGAGTTTCACAAGATACGAGACCTCAAAACAGAAACAATCTTGGATGATCGTAATTAAAATGATATATAAAAGTTCTGAGAATACGACGAATAAACATACCAGTCAAAAGTAGTAGCAAAACAACAGGAAGGAGCCCTAAGGAACCCTATTCCAGCTAACCATGTGTTTAATAGGGGTCTGCATAAGTAGAAACATGGCCACTCATCCGATACCCCCTAAACTGACATATTAAGGCCCTACATAAACCCTAACATCCCTAAACCGTAAACCCGAAAAGCCCTAAACGCCCCAAACCCTAAACCCTAAACCCTAAACCCTAGACCCTAAACCCTAAACCCTAAACCCCAAACCCTCCTATGGTAAGTCCTACATTTCGGATCCCCAGGCTCGAGCTGAGAGCCTTAACCCCCTGGTACTTAGCCCAGGACTTCGTAAGTCGGTTATGGGTTTTAGGTGTTATAGGGTTGTAGGGTTTAGGGGTTTAGGGTTTAGGGTTTAGGGGTTTAGGGTGTAGGGTTTAGGGGTGTAGGGCTTCAGGGTTATAAGTAGGATCATACTTGCTTTTAGGGGTGACAGGGTTATAGGGTTTAGGGGTGTAGGGCTTCAGGGTTATAAGTAGGGTCATAATTGACGTACCTCCATCTAGGATACTTATAACTCTACTTAGAACCTACCAACTACGTTTTCCGGGCCTCTAAGTAATGTAATGCTTATGTTAAGTAAACCCACCTTCTTTATCACCGAAAGGTTGGGATCACTACGGTTGATGACATAAGTCCTGCATTACCTTCAGGTTTAGGGCTTAGGGTTTAAGGCTTAGAGTTTAGGGTTTAGGGTTGGGGGTTTCGGGTTTCACCTTAAGGTTTGCCAACACCCTAAACCCTAAGCCCTAAATCCTAAACCCTAAACCCAAACACTCAACCCTAAACCCTAAAGGCTCGAAGCATTACTCAAGGTCTTACGCCCACCAACCTCTACTCTGAGACTTGTTTTGCACCGGACATACGCTGTGGCCTCAAGTTTGGTTAGGGTTTTAAGGTTTAGGCTTTGGGATTTAAGGTTCAGGGTTTAGGGTTTAAGGTCTAGGGTTTAGGGTTTAAGGTCTATAGGGTTTAGGGTTGAGGGTTTGACGGGATTAGGGTTTCAGGTTCCAGGG